TCCAACGTATATTGACAATACATGGACCAAAAATGCCAAAAGCTCTGATGGAAAACGGTTACTGGTAGGACCCTGGGTTGATTTTTTGGGTACCACCAAGAAAATAGAGGACTTATCTTGGGATTCTTTCTGTGTAGTTTTCAATGCCCAAGGTATGAAAAAAATGATGCAAATGTGCTAATATGGGGCAGTATGTGTCAACATCATACAGATTGCCTTATTCAGAATATTTCCAGTTTGCTGCCCTGAAATTGCATGGGATGCCTTGATCAGATTAGTCACCTCGCACACGTCTGACATGGTCCATCGGAGCTGCCGTATCTCGGCCTGCACCACGGCAAGTTTCGCCTTCTCCTCCTTCTGTCACTGGTACTGCTGAATTTCTTTCACTGGTACTGTTTGTTCAACATATAGAAGCATATCGGCAGCATGTACTGCACCTGCGCGAAACCCGTAATGTATTGTGCATAGCACTTTGGCAGAACGTCTCATATAAGGTTGCATTGGCGCATATAAGGTTAACATCCCGTCTGTAGTTTCCAAATGTTGTATCATAAAAAATATCGTCTCAACAGGCAAAATTCTGATGCAACGTTGACCAAACATCCAACGAAAACCTTAAAAAATCAGGGTTTCGCACAGGTGCAGCAATAGGTAAAATTCTGATGCAACGCTGCCCAAAAATCCAATAAAAACTGTTTTAAAAAATCAGGGTTTCGCACAGGTGCAGTACGTTCTGCCGATGTGCTGAAGGTAGGTCACCTCGCACACGTCTGACATGGTCCCTCGGAGCTGCCGTATCTCGGCCTGCACCACGGCAAGTTTCGCCTTCTCCTCCTTCTGATGGTCGATCCGCTGCAGGATGCGGCTCGTCTTCCTGTGTTCCCGCGTCACCTGGACAGAGAGATTGGTTTGTCATTATGAAATAAGACTAGCTTTAACTTCCAACACTTAGATTACAGAATTGGGACTTACCCAAATTTTCAGTTGACTCCATCAACCTTGTTCACGGAATGGACCCGTCTACTCTTGGAACGTGACGTCAGAGACACGTGACCGTAGTAGCGGGTCATACGTGCCAGATAACTTGTGTCGCCCCCGTCTCTGTTCAGGGTAGGTCTGTGAGCTCTTATGTAGACTGCCTCCTTAACTCCTCTTTATCGTGTTTACCGAAGGAAAACATTATCTTGTCTTGACTTGTCTGACTTTTGTTCCTTTTTTGACTTCCAAAAAATTTGTCTTCACTTTATTTGCATATCAATCAATAGTTTGTGCTTATAAACCTTCATTTCCCTTCTGGTCTCTCAGTCACTGACAAAAGCTAGTGGATACTAGCTGAAACATCTGACGTTTTCAAAATCATATCCAGTTGCTTGAGTAACTGCTTTTTGGCGAAAACATATAGTTTTTGCTCAGTTTCCTCTTCTTCTCCAAACCAAAAAGGTCAATGACCTGAACCAAACTGTTACCATGGTAACTAGTGTTGGGTTACATCACGTTGCAATTTTATAGCAGGAGGGATTTAGACTCCTGTCTGACCTTAAACATGAATGTGTTTGAGTAAGAATTAACAGAGCAGATCAAGTGCAAAGGTAAACATTATGCATTTGCTTTACTTGGAAATGTTACCTTTCTAGTTCAATATAAAAACCTTCACAGCACCAGTGCTAAATTGCGATCTCTGCACACAAACACATCCTTCAAAATACCGGTATTATCAGGATTTATTAAAGAATTATACATTACAAATGAGAATCAAGAACAAGTCTAAATCCTGGAAAATCACCAATATCACGACTTAAAATTCTATTATAACATTAGCATTTACTGTCATTCAGCAGGCGAACACAATAAGGTAGTGTTCCAACTTAAAATTCTATTAAGAATTAAGGACCTTGTCCTGCAGGCGAGACATCTGTATCTCCAGTTTCCTGCGTCTCACAGAAACCGCCTGCAGCTTTCTCTTCTTGGCCTCCTCGGTTTCCGTCAGGAACGTCCCGTTCCTGGGGTCTGGGATGCGAGACGATCGAACACTGTGCCAGTTTTCTGTCGAACCGAAAGTCGTTGTCAGCTCGGTGATTTCGCATCCCTCCTCTGAGTTTAGCAACAGTGGGGAACCTGAGTCCTTAACGTTACCCGCTTCCATCTGTGATGGTATAAAAAAGGTTAAAAGATAAAGTCCTGTTCAGTAGCCCTTGGGCCACACATTAGTGTAATCACTACCGGGGGCTAGTCCACTGGTAGTGGTGTGTTTAACTCCCAACTCCCATACACACAGGCCACTACAGCAGGGGGCTATTCCACTGGTAGTGGTGTGTGTTTAACTCCCAACTCCCATACACACACTCAGTCAGGTCACTGCAGCAGGGGGCTAGTCCACTGGTAGTGGTGTGTGTTTAACTCCCATACTCTTTCCCAAATGCTGAGTGCTAGATATAAAGTACCATTTTTAAAGTCTTTGGTACGACTCGGCCAGGGATCAAACTCACGACCTACCGAATGCAAGGCGAGCACTCTGCCCACTTGGCCATTGCACCGGTCAATGATGGGTATACAGTGGGACAAATAAATAACTTTATTTCCTAAAATAGTCTCATCAGGTTGGTAAAGCAGAGGATACAGGGATTTTCTTTGACACAACCGATGCCGAAATGTAAGCACAGTAGGTGACAATACTGGTTGTGTAAAAGAAAATATCTTTATTCTTTACTACAATAGTTAATAACTTTATTGCACAACAGTTGTACAGGGTACAAAGTCTAGCGTTTACTGGTACATAAGAGAAATGTCATAAGGCTAACCTACCTGATATAAGAGTGTGGGGTTAGTATGCGATTGGAAATGAGCTGTTACAATCAATGGAGGAATTTCTTATGTCTAGACATTCTTCAGTGTATATCCTTAATATGTAGAGAGATGTTAAGTTTAATACTGGTAACAGAACAATTCTAAATTTAAAGTTAAGGCCACACCAATTTAATTTCTTGGTTAACGGATTCGCCCGCTTCATTTTCTGATTTGCAAATAAAAATAAAACTTCAGAATCAACTGCAGAATGCTCATATTTTGCCCTGAACAGTTGAAAACAGTCCTTTTCATCCTAGTTGTTACAGTTATTTCATCTTTAAATGCAATTATGGTATCATTAAAAGTTCAAAATTCATTGTTTAAATTTTGAACCAGCCTGGTGTGTTGACTTCATGGCTCCTATTGTACCATTTTGGGCCATAATAGGATGCCTAGGCCTGTTTTCATTTTTATTTTTTTTTCACTCGCCTGCTCCATTATTTTTCTAGAAAAATCCGTTAACCAAGAAATCAAATAATTTGTGTGGCCTTAGCACAGAGTTTCTGCACACATACATTGCAGGTACTTAGGATTTTACCTACATGGTCAATATTGAAATTGAGGGTGGCCAGATATGAGATGATGTTATCGCATTTTTGTATAACTTATTTTCAAACTTAGGACTAACATGAAGGAATACTTAATACGAGTTACCTCAGTGGATTTTAAAAGAGTAGTTTGACTGTAAATACTTATTTTTTTACTTCAACCATCATCATTGTCAAATTTTCAGTGAAAAAGAAAAGGCACGCCAGACCAGTCCTCATTATTGTCAACTCTTCTGTCATTATTACTATTATATAGCATTGTATTTTACAGGTAATTGTGTTTTCTTCATTTGATTGTGTATCCACTATAATGATGAAGTGAAGAAGACATGTTGGTAAACTGTGAACATTGTAATATTTTACATACAGCTGCAATTTACCGTAGCTACAAACAAATAAAGGAAAATGATCTTCATACAGGATGATTCAATGTTTCACTTTTTTTTTTTAACGGTATCGCTCAGTGCAAGGCCAATTATATTTGGCCACTTCTAGGCATAGAGCTAGAGGTACTTAAGGGAGTATAATGTAGTTATGTCAGGAGATGGCGGTGGACCTTTGATGTGAATCTTTGTGGATTTTAATCGGATGGAAAGCAACTGTTTGGAAGAGAGTTCCATAATTTTGCAGTCCGGGGAAAGAAGCTGTTGTTGTAAAATGACTTGGAGACAGGTATGTTAACGGTGTATAATTTACTTACTCTACTGACATACGTAGATCTGAAAATCAGACCTTCTGGTTCAGACTATTGCAAAATTAGGCCACACAAATTTAATTTGTTGTTTTTGCCCTGTCCATTTTTTTCTGATTTGCAAAAAAAAAAGATTTTAGGTTTCTAACTGCAAAATGCTCAATGAAAGATATTTTGGCCCCAATGGTTGAAGAAAGTCCTTTTCTTCCTAATTGTTAATGTTTCAATGTAGCTATTCAACTTTCTTTTATTAAAAGTTCAAAAATTATTGTTTTGATTATAAAACAGCCTGGTATGTTGACTTCAAGGCTCATCGTAACATTTCCGGCTATCATGGGGTGCCTTGGCCTTTTTTTTTGCCGTTGCTTCATATTTTTTCTGAAAAAATCTGAGAAACAACAATTTAGATTGGCCTGGCCTTAGCTATTAAACCATGCCTGAGACTGATACTACATAGTGATAGGTCATCGATGTACCATTTCTCAGAATGCAACTCAGAGGAAACATTTTTCATTGGAGTAACATGTATTAAGATTAATGAAGGCTGTATGGCAGCACTCACGTGTCACTAATTCCATTCCAATGGACCTATACCATTATTACGTCACAGTTTGTTTACCGCAATGAATGCCGGTCAAGCAACGTTTATATTGTACAGGGGTGCGTAGCGCGGTGTGTGTTTGTGTAGCGTTAGCCTTAATATAAGGCCTTTATACAGTACTACTTTCGTCTAATGTCACAACTAAATCACCCATGCGGCATGTAATGCTGTGTCAACACAACTAGACGCAGCAAAAAATCAGACATACCTTACTTTGAAAACTTTGAAATGATCTTTATTTTTTAACTGACCATTCTAGAATGTTCTTTAGAACAGGTAAACAAACTGTGACGTAATAATAGTATAGGTCCATTGAATTTACGCAAAGAAATGTGTGACTGTGGGAGAAGCTCACTGGTCCTACACGATGCTTAGGAGCTTTTCTGTATCTTTAGTCTTCTGGAAACTCGAGTCTAAAACAGTCCATTTGAAGCATGTAGCGTTTTCAAATTTCGTAAACTAGCCCCTGCTATTGTGGAAATGTGATTTGAATTCTTCTATACAACACAATCCTAGGAACAAGCATCATAAGCAGAACATATACTGCAGCTGCGCAAAACAATGTTTGCATCAAAATTTTGCCAGTTACAGACAATAGTTTTTTCAACACAACATTTGACAAACTATATATACAATGGATGTCATCCGACCGATACATGAATCCGACCTTAAACAAGACATTCTGCCATAGTGCTATGCACAATACAGATTTGTGCAGGTGCTGTAACATTACATTTGTTTACTAGTATTTGATAGATCTCCATTAGTGAGTATATACATACTATATTAGACTATTCTTCCTGGAGTCATGAAAGTTACAAATACACATCATTACAAACCTATTAACATTCGTACACTTATCATAACACTCAGAATATAAAGTTAACCTATAACCTATAAAGTTAACTGTTACTTACCATATATATATATAGTAAACCTATCCTTAACCAGCCTATATACAACCGTTACTATGTACTACCAAAGTGATGGGCAATCCAGTAGACAAGCAAGTAATGCATACCTGTGATGCTGGGGAGGACTTCTGATGACGATGTAGCCCAAATTGTGGAAAGGAAATCGTAACTCGGCTGGTCTACGTGTGTTCAGCACAATTCCACATGGAAGCTGCTCCTGATTCAATGTCATCTCCCATGCGTAGCTATACCTGTGGTCTCTGGGGAGGATTCCCATCTGAAACCCTCACGTGGTATTTAGGGCACCGCCTGGGAGTCTTTACTCATAACAAAAGGGACTGTCAAGCTTTATGGTGTACTATAATGTCATAGCGCCCATTAAATTTATAACAATTGTATAACTACATGTTTCAACAATACTGCTGCCTTCTCATAGAACATAAATTTCAGGATTTGTAGAATAAAGAAAAAAAAATTAGGTAGCTTTATAGTTGATGAAGAAAATTTCCTCTGGGTGAAAACTGATCAAAAACTTGCTATCCAACAACCAACTATAATGTCATAGCGCCCATTAAATTTATAACATGTTGAAATAACAATACTGCTGCCTTCTAATAGTCTATCACATAAATTTTAGGATTTGTAGAATAAAGAAAAAAAAATTAGGTAGCTTTATAGTTGATGAAGAAAATTTTCTCTGGGTAAAAACTGATCAAAAACTTGCTATCCAACAACCAACTATAATGTCATAGCGCCCATTAAATTTATAACAATTGTAACAACATGTTGTAATAACAATACTGCTGCCTTCTAGTAGTCTATCACATAAATTTTAGGACTTGTAGAATAAAGGGAAAAATGTAGGTAGCTTTTCATTTATGAAGAAATTCCCTCTGGGTAAAAACTGATCAAAAACTTGCTATCCAACAACCAACTATAATGTCATAGCATCAATTAAATTTATAACATTTGTAACAACATGTTGTAATAACAATACTGCTACCTTCTCATATCACATAAATTTTAGGATTAGTAGAATAAAGGGAAAAATGTAGGTAGCTTTATAGTTGATGAAGAAATTCCCTCTGGGTGAAAACTGATCAAAAACTTGCTATCCAACAACAAACTATAATGTCATAGCGTCCATTAAATGTTGAAATGACAACACTGCTGCCTTCTAATAGTCTATCACATAAATTTTAGGATTTGTAGAATAAGGCCACACCAATTTAATTTGTTGGTTCTCGGATTTAAAAAAAAAAAAAATGAAGCGACAGGGCGAAAAAAAATAAAAATAAAAACAGGTCTAGGCATCCTATTATAGGTTTAAATGCTGCAAAATGAGCCATGAAGTCAACACAAAAGGCTGGGTTAAAATTTAAACATTAAATTTTGAACTTTTAATCAAACTACTGCAATGATAGATGGGAAAACTGTAACAACTAGGAAGAAAAGGACTTTCCTCAACTGTTGGGGGGCAAAACATGAGCATTTTTCAGTTGATTCAGGACCAGAATCAAATTTTTTTTTTTTGCAAATCAGAAAAAAACGAAGAGGCAAATCCGAGAACCAACAAATTAAATTGGTGTGGCCTAAAGGAAAAAGAAACTACATGTAGGTGGCTTTTATCGTTGATAAAGAAATTCCCTCTGGGTGAAAATTGATCATGAAACAAATGATAAAAACTGTTGCTAAGTTCTTAGAACAATCAACTTAAACCGGATCTGTTGGAATTCATTTTAGTATCAAGTGCAGATTTTTATCAAAGTTGTGCCTTATGGATGTTACACACATTCTTATATATTTATCGGTTAGGCTGTTCAACCCTCACATCCAACTGGGCAGTTCAACTAGCCAGTGGCTATTACAAAGCGCTTGCCCTGCTGAAAAGACATGACAAAACATTACGGCAACATATGAGGTGGCTTAACAATCTACAAAAGTATTACATTTTCTATACGATACGCCGGAATATGCGATAATGCGCTATACAATTATGCATTGTTTTTACAATGGTGTGAATGGTAAATGGTTTGGTGTTTTAAAATTCTATACAATTACCCGAAATATACAATTAAAAGATATACAAATAAGTGGAATCCCCTATATATTATTCTATGTAGATAAAAAAAAACTTTCTACAAAGGAAGGATTTCATGTGGAGGGATCAGGGTCAGTGTGAATAGATGTAAGAGTCGCCCAGACAGTTCCAGAGGTTCCTTTTAAAGGAGGCACTCGTGGCATCCTGGATGCCAAAACTAGTATCGGGCTGTTAGCCGTTTTCCTTCGGCAGCCAAGAGCCCTTCCCCCACCTATCTAAATTACCGCTACGGGGGAGCTGAGCCCGAGGGGTTTGTCTGGCCCTATTACTATTACTGTTTGTAGGGCCAACCAAACTCCCCACGGGCTAGACTCCCCGTAGCGGTAATTTACACCAGAGGGCGAAGGGCTCTTGCGGCCGGAAAAGAAGTTCTGGCTTCCAGGTATACTCGTGGTGGCAGTCTTCTTCTCGGGTCACCATTGGTGGCAGTTAAACATTTTACACACGTGTACCTTTGTTTGCCTCATGACATCTGAAGATTTATTCATCCCATATACATGTAATTGTCAGACGATATTATGTAAATCCTCCGTGAGGGCATCTGTATAATACAACCACCCACCCAGGCAATGCATGGAGGACTTTTAGTAACTGCATCTAAACTTAGGCCACACCAATTTAATTTCTAGGTTAACGGATTTCTCTACAAAAATAATGGAGCGGGTGGGCGAAAAAAAAAAAACAGGCCTAGGCATCCTATTTTGGCCCAAAATGGTACGATAGGAGCCACGAAGTCAACACACCAGGCTGGATGATACCATTGCACTGAAAGATGGAGTAACTGTAACAAGTAGGATGAAAAGGACTGTTTTCAACTGTTCAAGGCAAAATATGAGCATTTTGCAGATGATTCTGAATTTTTATTTTTATTTGCAAATCAGAAAAAAATGAAGCGGGCTAATCTGTTAACCAAGAAATTAAATTGGTGTGGCCTTATGGAGTGTTACACTACAGTAACTGTGTTAAACTTCACAAGTACATGAGAGAGAACTTGGTCCTTGAATAAGTATATTTATTAGTTGACAAAAGGTAGCGGATGCTACTTGAAATATCTGAACGTTTACAAAAATCTATCCAGTTGTTGAGTAACTTTACTGTTACTTTCAAATTTGGCATCTTATTTCATGGATGTCTAAATTTCATCACCAAATCATATTTATCTATAAGTTAACATGAAAGTTCATCTGTGTTGGTAGTTACATGTTTAAAGTTAAAACTTTTGGTCCAACACAGAAAAATTCTCTCACCTAGAGCTTTCGACCAGTCACTCTGGTCTTCCTCAGAAGAAGCCACGTGACAAGCTTCACTGGGTCAGTCTACTGAGGAAGACCAGAGTGACTGGTGGAAAGTTCTAGGTGAGAGAATTTTTTTGTGTTGGACGAAAAGTTTTAACCTTAAACATATCTATAAGTCATAATTATTTTCATACATTATCATCATCACTACATGTACATTACCGTGAAAAGTCCAAGCTTTTTACTACTAACACGCATCCATACGTTTCCTCTGTATTTGTGATTATCTTTTATAAAATATCTATGGTCAGGAGTGCCTCGTACAATGTATATCTCCCTGAGTCATGTTAGTTTAATTCATTAAAAAATCAGCCTTGCAGCTAGTGCACAAACAAGCTGAATAACACTGATTTTTTTACAATTGTGTAGTAAGTACAAATACAAAATTAACATTACAAAACATATACAGACACACTAACAAACACATTACAAAGCCTCACATGGGCACTAAAGTAAAGTCCAGAGAGTCCTGACAGTTACTGCGAAGACTCATTGTACAGGCATATTGCCTTGTGTAAGAAAGAGTTTTTCAGTCTCTTTGTACGGGCTGCTGGTACTGTAAGTACCATGTTAGTTTAATCACATTTACCGTTTAATCACATAGTTTAATCACATTAACCGTTACATTGCTACGGAACTAAAAAAGAGCTTTTTACCATGTGTATTACTCATATTTTCCCCCTGTACTTGTGATATCTGTTGTAGTCTGTATGCAGAGCCTTGTATATCTCCCTAAGTCCAGGGTCCAGAGCTGTGCCCAGAAGTTTGCTGCCGTGCATCCCGCACACATCCAGCAGGAGGTACACAGACGGCACCAACGATTTCTGGGAAAAAAAAGAGCCGGATTTGGTTAAAAAATATATCTTCTTTAAGGGAGAGCTCAAGTCAAGGAGAAGGCTAATTAAAATCATGAAGTTCTCTCACCTACATTGTACCAGATACCTTTGACCCAGTGTTGATGTCACACTTCAAAGAAGCCACGTGACAAGCTTCACTGGGTCAGTCTACTGAGGAAGACCAGAGTGACTGGTGTTCAGCACCAAGGACATACCTGTCCTTGGTGCTGAATACCATACACACTCTCTAGGTGAGAGAACTTCTTTGTGTTGGATCGCAAGTTTTAACCTTAAACATGTAACAACCAACACAGATGAACTTTCATGATGGTATGATTAAAATCAATTTTTGTCACGTGGACCATTAGTTGAGAGACTAATTTAGAAGGACATGAACTTCTCTCAGCAAAGAAAGAACAACATTTCTTGAGAATGTTGACCAGGTTATGCCTGCAATCTATACATTATCAAAGTGTGCTGATTCTAGTCATGCCTGGTACATGCATACATGTATTTATACACTGTACATTTTATTGACAATGCGTAAGTATGATGGAAGTGGAAAAGGCAAAACCCACAAGGGTGTCCAGGGAAGGGATGGATGGATCACATAAGGGAGGACTTCCTCCACGTTAACCTACATATAATATCAACCCACAGGACAGAGGCAAATGGCAGGCTGCCATCAAGCCTCAGCACCAGTGTACAAGCACGTCTAACCCTCGGATGACACGAACAACAGACGATAAACCGGACAGTGAGAGAGTGAGTGAGTCCCTTTTTCATGTCCCCTTACCTTGACTTCCGGATGTAATGTCCCATGCTGCAGCTCACTGATGTACTCTGCCACCAGAAAGGCTGCAGTCTGCAGGACAGCGAGGAGCAACAATCAGCAAGTTAATCAACTTTCCAAACGAATAAACTTTCCAGCAAGCAACTTTCCAACCGAAGTTCAAATGGCTTTTTCCTTACTGAGGGTGTGATGTCAAGAACATGTGGACAAATTTTTTTCTATTTTTAATTGTCCAACAGTACCCAGTAAACAGAATTGATGCAGGGTATCACATAATAATCAATACAGATCACAACAATCAAATAATAATACACACATGATACACATATTTGTTCCACAAGTTTTTGTGGAACTGCCGCAAGGGTCTGTGCGGCAGCCATTCGGTGCCACAAGGTGACCTCAATTCGACTTTCCCGGACCGAAGTTAGGTACCCATTCACACTTGGGTGGAAATTCGTGTAAAGTGCCTTTCCCAAGGGCACAATGTCAGGACGCATGTTCAGACATGTCCCGGGTACGACTCGGAATCGAACCCGGGTCTCCCCGCTTCATAGTCGATTGCTCTAACCACTATACACCACCCAACGCCACCAAATCTACATGTATAATGATGTTAAATCTTATAGGATCTGCCAAAATGTAACACATTATCATATTGATACATTGTTTATTGTTTGCCTTTCAAAGTCTGCATTTTCAAATTCTCACGTGATAATCACATCAAGTCTCCAAGACGAGATCTTTACCAGGTTGAAGAAGAGACAAAGCCCCCCAGAGTAGCTAACTCTTTGTTGTGTGTTTATTTATTTTATTTATTTATTACAATTAACCACATACATAATATACATGGAGGGCATGGTGGAACAGGTGCACCTAAGTGCACCTTTTCAAGGCCACCATGCCCACAAATAAATAGTCAATGTGCATTAAAAAAAAAAAAAAACAGTGATACTATATAATTACAAGATGTTAAAAGCAGTAATAACTGGGCTTAACGGGGCCTTGTAGCGCGACAGGAGGTGCAGCCACACGACAGCACCCGGGAGCACGGTTTCATTATAAATATTCATCAGAAGTCTAAATTTGTTCAGATCTATATTTTTGTGGAGGTTTATGAAGGAAATCAAACAGTACCCTGGTGATGTCTACTTTCTGCACCAGTGCAGCCACCAGCCTCTCGAAGTCTCCTGCACACAACACCACGGCAGAACTGGACACCACGTCAGATCTGGACACCACGGCAGAACTGGACACCACGGCAGAACTGGACACCACGTCAGAACTGGACACCACGGCAGAACTGGACACCACGTCAGAACTGTCTGCTCGGCTGCCAGCCTGGTCCTGTCTGCCCTCATGGACAAGGGCCACGAGCAACCGTACACTGTGGTTAAGGTGTAACAGCTGTTCATATACTTCAAGCATGTTTCAAGATCCCGACACACTTATATATCAATGAAAAGAAAAGGGGTTCCCGGTACAATGAATGAATGAATGAATGAATGAATGAATGAATGAATGAATGAATGAATGAATGAATGAATGAATGAATGAATGAATGAATGAATGAATGAATGAATGAATGAATGAATGAATGAATGAATGAATGAATGAATGAATGAATGAATGAATGAATGAATATTCAAATGAATGAATGACTGTTTATTTACATGTCATTGCGACCATACCTCGCCCAGCCAATATGGGCTTATAAGACACCGACAATTATAAAATCATAACAACTCAACAAGTGGTTCAAACATTACAGTGCTGTCTTTTTTTTAAAATGCAGCTTGTATACACTTACTGTACGAAACTGGTCTGTTATGTCTAAAAGTGGTTTGCTGGTTATGCAAAACAAAGCAAAGTCAAACACTGACATGTTTGGTTTGAAAGGAAACTTTTCTTACAAGGACTACCCAAGAAAGTGGTCTTCTTGTACAGGTTGCTTAATGCTCGCACCCATGGAAAAAAATTCAAGACTGGGAAAATGTGGTTGTTATGGCCAGGTGGTCAGATGGAAGAGGTGGTCAATTGGGCAGGTTTGACTGTATAACCAGAAATACCAAGACAGACCGACCAGACAACGTGGTCGGTCTGATCACTGACAACAACCTCCAGTCATTTAAAACAAGAGTACACCGGCATCTTCTTTCCACCACCAGGACTTCTACATGTAGCTAGAACCTTGCAGTTGCTGTGAATCAATGATTAGCCAGGAGTGTTATTGCAAACCCTTCAGACATAGTTTTAGACATAGTTACAGTTCTAGACATGCTACCTTCATCATGTAGACTTCAGTTGTTTTATACTCTGTTTCAATGTTCTTTCATGTTTTCTAATTCGCAATTAGCCTCCGGGCACGAATTTGCAATAAACTTTCATCATTGTAATGCTACAACCCAGGCTACTGCTCACATTAGCATATTTAACATCCATGTCCATAATATCACCAGGGTCCATAATATCGCCACCTTGAGAAAAAGTGTGCTTTAAGATATTTTTACTGCAACATACCCTAGGTATGTACATTTGAGGTGTGAAGGAGTGTATACTAAAAGTATGTTACAGTAAAAATATCTTTAAGCACACTGCTTCTCAAGGTGGCGATATTATGGACCCTGGTGATATTATGGACACGGATGTTATAGAAAAAAAGTGCATTTGTACGCCCTGAGTCCTCTGGTGCCTGATGTGACAGCACAACAATAGACGCTGATACGAGTGTTTAACAATAGACGCTGATACGAGTGTTTAACAATAGACGCTGATACGAGTGTTTAACAATAGACGCTGATACGAGTGTTTAACAATAGACACTGATACGAGTGTTTAACAATAGACGCTGATATGAGTGTTTAACAATAGACGCTGATACGAGTGTTTAACAATAGACGCTGATACGAGTGTTTAACAATAGACGCTGATACGAGTGTTTAACAATAGACGCTGATACGGGTGTTTAACAATAGACGCTGATACGGGTGTTTAACGTTGATGATTTACACAGATGGAGGGAAATTATCTGATGGATGTGACCTTTTACTGCGGGAATGTCAGACTGTGATCTGTCATCATCAAAGGAAACATTCATTATCCTGATGAAGGCGACATTGATCTCTGTGTAACCCTGGTGTTGGAATACAGCTCAACATTTTACTATGATTACTACCAACACAGATGAACTGTCACAATCAAAGGAAACATTAATTATCGTGATACAAACAAACAAACAAACAAACAAACAAACAATTATCGTGATGAAGGTGATGGTGGTCATGGAAAATTTGATCTCTGTGTAACCCTTGTGTTGGAATACAGCTCAACATTTTACTATGATTACGACCAACACAGGTGAACTTTCATCATCAAAGGAAACATTAATTATTGTGATACAAACAAACAAACAATTATCCTGATGAAGGTGGCGGTGGTCGTTGAAAATTTGATCTCTGTGTAACCCTTGTGTTGGAATAAAGTTCAACATTTTACATGTACTATGATTACTACCAACACAGATGAACTGTCACGACCAAAGGAAACATTAATTATCGTGATACAAACAAACAAACAAACAAACAATTATCGTGATGAAGGTGACAGTGGTCATTGAAAATTTGATCTCTGTAAATTGTGTGTTGGAATAAAGTTCAACGTTTTACATGTACTATGATTACTACCAACACAGATGAACTGTCACAATCAAAGGAAACATTAATTATCGTGATACAAACAAACAAACAAACAATTATCCTGATGAAGGCGACATTGATCTCTGTGTAACCCTTGTGTTGGAATACAGCTCAACATTTTACATGTACTATGGTTACTACCAACACAGATGAACTATCACGATCAAAGGAAACATTAATTATTGTGATACAAACAAACAAACAAACAAACAAACAATTAACCTGATGAAGGTGACGGTGGTCGTTGAAAATTTGTTCTCTGTGTAACCCTTGTGTTGGAATAAAGTTCAACATTTTACTTGTATTAGTACAGTAAAAAAACTATGATTACTACCAACACAGATGAACTGTCACGATCAAAGGAAACATTAATTATCGTGATACAAACAAACAAACAAACAAACAAACAAACAAACAAACAATTATCCTGATGAAGGCGACATTGATCTCTGTGTAACCTTTTGTTGGAATAAAGCTCAACATTTTACTATATGATCACTACCAACACAGATGAACTTTCATCATCAAAGGAAACATTAATTATCGTGATGAAGGTGACGGTGGTCATTAAAAATTTGATTGTGTACCCCTTGTGTTGGAATAGAGCTCAACATTTTACATGTACTAGTACTATGATTACTACCAACACAGATGAACTGTCACAATCAAAGGAAACATTAATTATTGTGATACAAACAAACAAACAAACAATTATCCTGATGAAGGTGACAGTGGTCATTGAAAATTTGATCTCTGTACAACCCTTGTGTTGGAATACAGCTCAACATTTTACATGTACTATGATTACTACCAACACAGATGAACTGTCACGATCAAAGGAAACATTAATTATCGTGATACAAACAAACAAACAAACAAACAATTAACCTGATGAAGATGACGGTGGTCGTTGAAAATTTGATCTCTGTGTGACCCTTGTGTTGGAAAACAGTTCAATATTTTACATGTACTATGATTACTACCAACACAGATGAACTGTCACGATCAAAGGAAACATTAATTATCGTGATACAAACAAACAAACAAACAAACAATTATCCTGATGAAGGCGACATTGATCTCTGTGTAACCCTTGTGTTAGAATAAAGCTCACCATTTTACATGTACTATGATGGTTACTACCAACACAGATGAACTTTCATCATCAAAAGAAACGTTTGTTCATGACAGTGCCTTTGTGTTGGAACAAATGTTTAAACATGTAACTACCAACACAGATGAACTTTCATGATATTAGTGGTAGAGGAATTCCATTCAATAACTAGAAAGGTAACATCTGCAAAGAAAATGTATAATGTTTACCTTTGCATAGGTCTGCTACGTTAGTTCTTACTCAAACACATTCATATATATGGTCAGACAGGAGTCTAAATCCCTCCTGCTATAAAATTGCAACATGATGTCACCGAACACTAGTTCCGGGTCATTGACCTTTTTGGTTGGGAGAAGAAGAAGAAGAAGAGGAAACTGAAGCAAAAACAATACATTTTCCTTTGGTAAACATAAAAATAAAAAAGGATATTTCTACAGCAGGCCATCAGTGATGGAACAGTGTTCCTGGCCACGTGGGTGTGATGCAGGAGTAGAGTCATCAGCACGCTGCAGGTAGCCTGAAACACTGCGGCAAACGTGCCTCCTGGCTGGTCCTGTTTATTTATTTATTTGTTTATTAAGTTTTACCACGTACAATATGCACTGTGGATGGCATGGCGAAACAGGTGTTTCTGACATGAAACACCTTTTCAAAGCAGCCATACCAATAAAATGACAAAACAATACAAAAAGTAATCAAATCACATAATACAATTTGAGAAACAAATGAATAAACTTAGAACTACAAGGCAAGTCAACTTATTAACATTGTGAGAGTTAACATACCTGTAGCTGCACACTCAGGCATCCGTGGAGAGCTGCAGCTGCCACGTGGTCTGGGAGACTTCCCTACAGCAGACAGAAACAATCATGGTTGTGGCTGAAACCATGCTTGAGCTTTTACTTGGATTTGCCTTGAATGGACCATTAACACCTGTCCTTGGCGCTGAACACCATCCATACATAGATACATATGCCTGTCCTTGGCGCTGAACACCATCCATACATAGATACATATGCCTGTCCTTGGTGCTGAACACCATTCATACATAGATACATATGCCTGTCCTTGGTGCTGAACACCATTCATACATAGATACATATGCCTGTCCTTGGTGCTGAACACCATTCATACATAGGCAAACATACCTGTCCTTGGTGCTGAACACCATCTACACATACAAACACCCCTGTCCTTGGTGCTGAATGCCATCCACACACAAATAAACATACCTGTCCTTGGTGCTGAACACCATCCACACACAGGCAAGCATACCTGTCCTTGGTGCACCAGTGCACCTACATGTATTCCAAAAACTGAATTTCGAGCTCTGAATAGCTCCATGTGGAACACTAACCTGTCCAAACTGCAGTATGGCAGCAGTTGTGAGGAGGCTGGGTACAAAAACCTGCTGTAAAACAAAGTCTTCAGTATCTTTACTGCATGACTTCTGCAGTACAGCCTGGAGCTTCAGGACCAACTGCAGCAGACAGAGAAGAGGGTGAACATGTGAGACATTGAGCAAGGTTTACACATGTTCATTGCCAATGTACAATGTATTGTTGTAACACAATGTTTATAATGCATGCTATGTAGCCATGTGAACAGGTCTTCCAATGTGCACTAGTTATACATTATTTAAACTACAGATTTTACCGATGATTTAAAGAGATACCATATAGTACATTACTTGTGACAGGTTAACCATCTATATTGTACCAAAAAACATAAAAACATTGCTAGTGATAATCAGTTCAAAAGCATCAATAACATGCACTTTCTGGACTACCTGTGGTAGAATTGTGTTCAGGGCATCTCTCTTCTCATCTTTCCACTCCTCCTTCAGCACAAGTTGCCACAGCCTTAGAGCAGCACACATGGATGTGCCACTGTCCTGGGGACAAGAACAACACAGCGTGGGGTCGTGTGGTGTAAACGGTAGCACATTTGGCTCAGGACCAAGAGGTCTCGGGTTCAAATCCTACTACAAAACTGGTATGTTACGCCTAAAAAGGTGGGTCACAGGTTATGCGAAACAAACAAACAAACATAATATTTCCTGCATTATTCATTTCTCTTCAAAAATAATATCAATCTATGACAGAGTATGAGTACATGCGATGGTCTACAGTGGTTTTGATTTGTGAATATGCTTGGAAAACATTGTGTTGCTTTACACAGTCCATGTGCTAACAAAATAAACCCATTCCTTACCAAGTGCTTCTGTAGACCCAGTACGTATGTGGAGAACTGCTCAGGTTGGGAAGATCTGCACACCATCAGCAGCAACGCTTCTTCATCTGCCACAACATCTGCCAGGTCTGCAGATGCTGAAGGGCACAAACATAACTCCTATAATAATACTGTAGTAGCTGTAACTTCTGCCAGGCTGTATTCATCCTCAAAGTGACAGACATTGGGCAATTAAAATTAGGCTGCCATGTAGTTTTCTTACATACAGTGCAGAATGTGCAATCTGAAGGAGTTGTGGAGTGAATTCCCAGTAGCAGCACCAGAAAGCATCATTCACACAGCACATCCTGTTGCTGCAGCTAGATATTTGTATCAGATGATTTTTATTACCTACATATAAAACATCTAATTCTATCCTCCATTGTTACCTGTCCTGTTTGTGGAGTGAATCCCCAGTAGCACCACCACAAAGCATCATTCACACAGCACATCCTGTTGCTGTAGCTAGTGGACACTAAGATATTCGTATCGAATGATTTTACATGAGCTACACAAACATCTATCCTCATCAGTTCTTACTTCTGTTTGCAGAGTGAATCTCCAGAAGAACCAGTCGGCCCAAACTCCCATTGGGCAGGACAAGCCACACATTCAAACCTGCCCAAGCAGTCACTTCAGCTAGCTATGCCAGCTGTTTTTAAAAGCACATTTTGTTACCTGTCCAGTTTGTGGAGTGAATCCCCAGCAGCAGCTGCTCCACCAGGCTGTACACAGTCGGCCCAAACCCCCCCGGCAGGACGGCCTGGCACTTTGGTCCTCCTCCTGCTGCAGTCTTCAGGAAGGACAGGCAGGCACGGAGGTTCTGTACCTGCAGAGCAAGAAATACGTCATTGCAAAACACACAATTTGTTTGTTTGTTTGTGCCTTTGTTTATACTCGATAATATAATGGCCGAATGGGGTGACACAGAATTTGAAAATCACAAAGGTTCTGCATGTATGTAAACATGTTTATGTTTATGTTTATGTTTATTAAGAATCTCCATTAGTAATACAATGTTTGTTTACTAGTCTTCCTGGAGTCCTTTAACATTACATTTAAAATACGAAATATAATCAATTACAAAGTTAACTTACTTAATAGCTACAATTACAACATGTATTTACAACAACATCAGCTTAAATAACAGTATAACAATAACAATCTTAACACAATCTACACGTAGGCCTACTTGCTTATATATACAACAATTAAAGCTAGCTTAAATTGTGACACCTACCTTGTCCTGGACCTGTTCAGCCAGTAGGGTCTGTAGGCGGCAAACCTGGTGCTGGATGACAGATGTCCAGTTCTCACCAACCCTGTATCACAGACAGTCGTCATTTGTGTCTATGAAGGTTTAACATCCAGGTACAAGGAGATACACAAGAAAGTTCCCGATATTCAAACAACTGGATCTGTGTAGATTTTGAGAACTGTCAGGCGTTTCAAGTAGCATCTACAACTTTTCACCAGTGAGTAACGAAAAATCACAGAATCCCCTCTTCCATGCATACACATGCTGTAAGATCTTGTTAACTTGTCAAATGGAGCAATATCAAAGCCAAGTCTATGTCCTTACTGTGCGTCTGCCACCTGCACCCTGAGAGCTGCAGCCATGGCAGTGGTGACTGCAGGCAGGTCTGCCCACGACGCAGCTGCAGCAGAAATGGTCTCACTCTGGGCTGCAGGAACTACCGCAGCAGCAGAAACACCCGCAGCAGCAGAAACACCCGCAGCAGCAGAAACACCCGCAGCCAGCTTCCTGGTGCAGGAGGCAACAGTCTCGCTCTGGTCTGCAGGAATTTTCACCTTGTTATGCATGACCTGGACAAGGACAGAAGAAGAGTTGTGTTACAGTTTGGATATTCTTGACATTTTGGAGGGACCGACAGTCATGGATGGATGAAATTTCTTGCAATGAACATGTCTTCTCTGTACATCTTAAAAAGATCTGTATCTGTGACTGTATCTGTGGCCGCAGCTGACTGAATGGCACCGAATGACCAGTTACACCTAACCTCTGCACATCTAACTCTTAACATGGTTTACAGCTACCTAGTGATGATGCCCCTAGTGTACGTGGTGTGTGCAGCGAATTCCACTTTACGATAGTTCCACTCAAACAACCAACTCATGGATGTTACTGATAGCTGTATACATAAACCTGCAAAAGTATTTGTGAGCACCTGTGGACCCACAGAAAAAATGGGAGCACAGCTCCAATATTGGCTGTATTTCAAACCCTGCCAAAGAAAAGTGGACAGTACGCACCATGAGTCCAGCGGACAGGGTGCAGCCTGCGGAGATGAAGAGCCAGTCCGGTTTGGACCCGTCCTTGGGTGGACCTGACGTGACCAGTCGCTCCAGGCCTCGGCACAAGTGTTCTGTGTAGTCCGTCAGGCTGTCTGTCCCTTCTGCTGACCGCACAACTGACCACAGCAGGTGGTACAACAAGTCCTGGTACGTGTCTTGTAGTGCTGCGGATTCGGAGACGTTCTGCACCTGAAATATAGCGGACGTGCATTTAGCGGATGTGCATTTAGTGGACGTGCATGTAGCGGATGTGCATGTAGCGGACATGCATGTAGCGGACGTGCATGTAGTGGATGTGCATTTAGTGGACGTGCATTTAGCGGACGTGCATGTAGCGGACGTGCATGTAGTGGACGTGCATGTAGCGGATGTGCATGTAGGACGTGCATGTAGCGGATGTGCATGTAGCGGATGTGCATGTAGCGGATCCTGTGCATGTAGCGGACATACATGATAAGGACATGCTGTAGTGGACGTACATGATATGGACGTGCATGTAGCAAACATGCATGTAGCGGACGTGCATGTAGCGGACATGCATGTAGAAGCTCATAATGGCTATGTCTTATACCTGATAAACAGACATCTTCACTCAATTAAGAAGAGTTGTCAAAGCTTGTAAGACAGTTGGCTGATGCAGTAGCAGGACCACACTTACCCGAGTTTGTCTACATGCTAGCAGCAGGCCCTTCATGGTGACGGCTGCATCTAAGACGCCCCACAGGCTGGTTTTCTTCTTCCCAGCCATGACGTCTCTCAGCACCTCCAGGATTGTTGTCAGGACAGCTGGTGCTGTAGCACAACCCAAACAAGCAACAGAAAACTGCTGTGTCAACACCTCGGCACTCCAGGTAAAAAACAAGGAAATACAAATAATACACTTAGATGGAATTTGCAAAGCAAATACTAATGTTTACCTTTACACTGTCTAGCCCAACAAACTCTGTTCATTTCTCAATTTTTAATATATCTGGTGACACAGTAAAACTCTGTCTTGCCACTTGCTACATAATGTAATCCAACACCACAGGAGAACCGGTTACCAAAGTGACAGACAACTGGTCAGGGTCATTGACCTTATGTGTTTGGAGAAGACAAAGAAACTGAGCAAAAACAATGTTTTCCTTATTCAAAGGTTAACATATTAACAACAAGGAAGCTGTGAAAAGGTGTCCTCAAACTGTAACATTCCTGTAATATGTGTTGAATTACCTGACAAACAGCGTGATGCCCCGAGAAACCAGTACAGAACGAGACAGGCGAGGACACAGCGTTGTGAGCTGACGTCTGACAGACACTGCAGAGGGAGTCGTTTCAGCACCTGGGACAGGGAGGGGTACAGGCTCAGTTGCTTTGCTTTCTGTTTATCTATTCCTGTACCATTTTACAAACTGGTTTCTCAGACAATTTCACTAAACTACAAACACATTTTGTCGCATTTACCAAGGTCTAAATCTATGGCAAGTTTTGTCGGTGAAGGTTAGACATCCAGGTAATAAGATACCCCAAAAAGCAGTGACAAGCAACTGGATATGATTTTGGAAACGGTCAGACGTTTCAGGTAGTATACACTACAAATACCTTTCATCAGTGCCACTAAGAGACCAGAGGAGAAATGCAGGTTTATAAGCACAAACTATTGATTAATATGCAAATAAGTGAAGTCAACTTTTTTGGAAGTCCAAAAGGAAAACAAAGGTTAGACAAGTCAAGACAAGATGATGCAAAGTAGTCAAAAAGCTCCAAAATGGCAAGTTTTGTTCACTGTCTTAACCTCATTCATAACTTCGAATGTACATACCTTTAGGTACCAGGCTATCTTTTGTAAATGATGCTCTATCAGATGACACTTCTGTGGCACTTGTTTTAGATGACATTCTAGTGTAGTTGCTGCTGATGCGATGACTGCCGACAGGTTGGTGGTGTTGTCCTCTAGTTCTGAAGTTGCCGACCAGGGCTTGTTGTCATCACTGATCTCAAATAGTACATCCAAACATGTCCAACGAGCATCAGTTTTCTTGCTGTAAAACATGAACACATCATTTTGTTAATGAGCCTTGTGAATTGATTAACACTGGTGTGTTAATTAACAGCTGATGTGTTATCACAATCCTGAATGGAGTGTGTAAAGAAGGACATCAGAGAGAAGACCAGTACTACTAGCTGACTGCTGCCTACCCCATGACAGGGACCTTAGCAGCAGTATAATAAAAGACATAATACTACCGTGTCAGTACAAAATGTACCTGTCAAATATTGAAATCTTTTCTAACCACACTTATTCCCATCCTCATGCTTAAGTGTCTTCTACCCCACTCCTTTACAGCTGGCCTACTGACTCACCTAAGCTCCACAGTGTCTGCCAGACGACTGATGATGACAGTTATCATGGCCTTCTGCAGTGCCAACAGCTCCCGAAAGGGGGCGCTGTTGAGCAGGTCTGCAGATATCATGGCTCTGGTCAGCAGCCTGGAGGGAACATGGTCATGTTATCAGGTGGCACACAGTTGACTTATCATATTGTCTGTCTGTTGTACTTTCAAGCATAACAGTACAGTACAGGGAGAATAGCTATCAAGGGGAATCCGAGATTTAAAAAAAACTACTTTTTAGTCATGAAGCCGGAAAATCAGGCATCAGATAAAAATGAGTCATTGAAGAAAAGCAGTTGATGTAACTTCAAACGTTTGGCAGTTGCTGGAGTAGCTGTTTTCTTGAGTGTCTCATTACCTGGATGTGTAACCTTCAACATCAGATACAAAGTAAATGTAACGTGATCAGCAAGGCAGTATATTACAGTGTCTTATAAGCTTACCCAGTCGAAGTTTGTGGACGGCTCTCACTGACAACTGTTTTCAGAAGATAGCGTGCCAAAAGTTCTAAGTCACCCTGGTGACACAGAGGGGAAATCAGACCAATATGGCTGCACAGAAGGTACCATTGAGCTGTGGGATAGTTTTCATTTGTCACACTTGTAGCCTGCAGGGAGAAACAGACAGTTACAACTTTGGAAATGTCCTGTCAGTGTCAAAGAAAAGCAGACAAACTTATACATTGAATCTTACTCCAGAAAGAATTACTGTAATGAACAGTGAGCATAGTACTGTGTACCTAAACCCACATTTAGGTTCAGGTCTGGATTCAAGTCCAGAGGTTTAGGTTCAGTTCTGGACTCATAACCCATGGCACATACAAAATTGCATGTTGGAAACCTGGCAATGTTATATTGGTAAAACTGTGGCCACATAACATGGAGGCTGACACTTGACGATGGCACTTGACGATGGCAATGTTTTCTTCATTTTGCAGCACAGATTTTGTAATCTATGGGAGGTTTTAGGTGGTTTGGAAAGAAAAGGGGTATGTGACATGTTTTTTTTGTAATACGGTTCTTGACTTTAATTTTTTGTTGTTGTTGACTTGAACCTTAACATTTTTACAAGTTTGGAACCGATCCAGCCAACTGGTACACAGCACTAAGTGAGCACACCAAGCCTTACCTGACCATCCCAGGTGGAATCCTCGACTTCAATAAGACTAAGATGGTTAGCAGAACTGATCACATTCTCAATCGTCCTCCTCACTGTGCCTTGTTCTGAAGGGCTCGTCACTATCCTTAACATCCTCACCTTCTGCAGGCTCAGCATTTGCTGACAAACACAAGGCACTTGGTTAGATCACAATAAAGAGGTGCTAGTGTCACAGAAATGAAAGCTAACATACAGTGGATGTCACAGGACAGACAAAAAATGTCCAGACTATGCATGATGTACAAAATGACCAATAAACTGGTAGATGTACCAACTACTAAGTACCTAGTTCCAGCTCAGAATAGTACAAGAAATAGCCATGCCTTCAAGTACCAGAGTTATCAACCAAGGATTGAGGTGTTCAAGAATTCATTCTTTCCTAGAACTACACAGGGTGGAACCAAGTACAGTAGTGGAATTATCAATAGATAGCTTTATACAATGTCTGGAGTTAGATGTTCAAAGGTTTAGGTGAAACAACTCGTTCAGTGTAATGTAGCCAACTGGTTACAGAACTTACCAGAACATAACCTATCCTCTTGTTGCCTGACTTATGAAGTTTACAACACAGGGTGGACCAGTCCCCTGGTGACAGCTGTGGGTACTGCAGGCTGAAGTCCAAATATCCTTCACTCTCTCCAACACTGGGCACAGACTCACTGCTGTGAAGGCAGCATGCAATAATTATAATGACGTGATTTAGAAAAAAGAAATACCAACAAAAACAGCATTTCAGTGTGATGGATTTTAAAATTGTAATTTCCAATATTAGAGTTTTACCCAAATTTTCAACTCTATGGCAAGCCATGAATGGACCCACTGCCTCTATCAGTATCATTGATGACAGCTACAAGCTGTTTAGCAGGTCAACTCACTGCGCTTGTGTAATGTCTTATTTAAGGTTGTATCCATGTATTTGAGGATGACATTGTGTCTATAGTTTTCAAATTTTGTGTTGGAAAAGATGTCGTTGACCAACATCCACAAAAAACGTGAAAAATCTGGGTTTGACGCAGGTGCAGTATGTTCTGCCCACGTGCTGGTTTACCTGCCTTACCTGTGATTGTCACCTTTCATGTGCACAGAGAGCAGGTTGAGCTGACACCAGGTGTGGCACAGGTGGAGAGCAGAGAAATGCAGGTGTTCATCTACCTGTAGTGGCAGTGTACAAAATACTTTTTTGAACCAGGTTGCCCAGTGGGCAACCTATGGCAAAAATTAGGTTGCCCATCAGAATTTTAGGTTGCCCCACCTACAAGTTACTACTTTCCTCAAATTAAGTAATGTTACATACATAAGCCTTTGACAATATTTCTAACAGCCTTTAGTTAACTGATACTAGTAATAGCCATTCATACCTAAAATTAAAAAGCATTTGCCGGATACAGTGGTGCAAGCCAAGTGGGCATGATCGGGGGGGGGGGCATTCTTAAAATTCAGATAGCACACTGGGCTTCCTAGGTTCAAAAATAGGTTGCCCCGAGTAAAATTTGGTTGCCTGGGGCAACTGGGCAACCAGGTATTTTGCACGCTGAGTGGTAAAGGGAAAACACATTACAATGCACAGGTAGCTACAAGGCCCGGGGCTGAAGACTTTGTTGTCTATTGAAAGATATCAGACCTGGTACATCTTTATTGCCAGGTAGATGTATGTATTCACTTTCTCTGCCTAGCACTCAAACACTTAGCACTCTGCTGGTAAAGAGTATGAGAGTTTAACACTACCAGTGGACTAGCCTGCTGCTGTAGTGATTGCACTACTAGGCTACAGAAACAGAGATAGATTACAAAGGATTAGGAAGGGTACCTAAGTTAAACTTTTAACATCTTACGAGAACAACTTATATATAATATCACCCATTCTGTACACATTTAACGTGGGAGGTTTGATCATGACAAAGTGTGGACGTGGCATCATGTAGCATAACGGGAGAGCGTTCGGCTCAGAACCAAAAGGTCCAGAGTTCAAACCCTGCCATGTCACTGATCTTGTGCCCTTGCATGGGAAAGGCACTTTACACGACTGTGGGGGACCCCATGTTGTATTAGCCACAAAAAGGCAGCAGAATCTTCAGCTGCCTAGTAAAATCATTCTTTATTGACAAACAAAAGAAAGAAACATTGAGCCCAGGTCACGCCGGCCATAACTGACCGAACATGCAGAGAGACATTAGACATATAACATTATACAATACACCACGACATACTGTAACAATATTGCACAGTAAATATTGCACTGTAAGAAAAAGGAGTCTGACCTCCTGGGTTCCCAGACAGAGCTTCAGCAGGGGAGAGATGACGTCGCTGCAGGTGGACGCCATCAGCTGGTCCAGTCTTGTTGTCGCGGGCGACGGGATGCTGGCGTCCCAGAGACGCAGGTGGAGCAGGAGGAGGGACAGGAGGGTCGTCATCTGCTCCAGACAGGCAGAGGTGCACAACAGCTGGGGAGTTGGAGCTGTACGACATGGACGGGTAAAAAACACTCTGAAACTAGAAACGTAACATATGCAAAGCAAATGCATCATGTTTACCCTCACATGGCCCAGCTTAACAAACTTTCCAGCAATTGGGAGTTTATTTTCTTCATCTTAATTTTTTCATACCCAAAAGATTTGATGAGCTCCAAAGCACCGAAGGCCTGATTATCGTCTAACAAACGTAAAAACAATGGCGTATACTTATAGATGTTTACAAGTGCTTTTGATAAAGAATCAGGAAAATAGACAGTATTTGTTGCGGTGTATCAAATTAAAAATCTATTTTACTTGAAGTATGAGTGTCCTGGCCACCTAGCTGGATTTGTTCCTGTAGCTTGTTCAGCATGCTCTGCCATATTTCCACGGCCAGACCTGGAGGCAGACCCTGGACCAACTCTGTCCACCTAGGCAGGGAGACAATACAGTGTGGGCTGTGTTTTTTTTTTTTAACGGTGTCGCTCGATGCAAGGCCAATTATTTTTGGCCACTTCTAGGCATAGAGTTAGAGGTACTAAAGTGAGTATAATGTAGTTATGTCAGGAGATGGCGGTGGACCTTTGTTTTGAAGCTTTGTGGATTGCAGTCGGACGGAAAGCAACTGATTGGTGTTCATTGGCTTGACAGATGAAAGACTTAATATTGAATGTTGCATCAGTATACAGGCTTACTTAACACGTTTGTTGACATAGAGTGATTGAGGAATATCACATAAAAAGGATTGGAACAAGAAAGGTAATATTTGCAAAGCATATCCATAATGTTTACCTTCACATGGCCTAGCCTAACAAACTACTGCTTTGTTTATTCAAATGCATTAAAATACATGTACATAGTGACCAGCTCCCCAAACTCTGTCCTCCCACTTGCTACATAATAATGTAAATCTGTTATAATGTACATGTGTGTCTGTTACAGCACCAGTTAACATGGTGACAGCCATCAGGTCCAGGTCATTGACCTTATGAAGAAGAATGTTTTATTTAAGCAAAGGTAAACATAACTACATATAGTTAATTCTCTGTATACAAACCTGTGTTTGTATACAGTAGTATCATAATTATGTAATCTGTATATACATGTATTAATGACCATAATTTATGTATGTAACCACATTTTTTTCCCAGGGCATGCCCTTAGTAATAGCTTCTAGCTAGTTGGGCTGCCCTGGCTGTCTTGTATCAGCCAAACTAATAAACAAATAAACAAACCTGTGTAAGGTGAGGGGAGGGAATGTCTTGGAGTATGACAACTGATCCTGGTTCTGTTGGACAGCATCCAGCATAGCTGCTAACAACGTGTCCACCTGAAAATAGTAACGCAGCTCTGTTGTATCATTGAGAAGCACATAGTATAAAGATACACAAATCCAAAATGGATTTTATGTCCTCTATCCAAATAAAGGGTTAAAATACAGGGTAACCAGGATATCAGCACCAAGGACAGGTAACGTTACAAAGGAAAGACAAAAGGTATTGACTGTCCACCACAGGAAGAACAAAAGTAAGTGACTGAGAGTTCTGACTGTCCACCTATAATCACAATGATTGGTCCATGATTATCATACAAAAAAAAGTACAGTACAGAGGAAGAGACCTCCTTTGTTATATTTAGTCTTCTATAGAATACTATGTTTTTGAAATTTTACCTGTCGTAGCTTGGCATACGTCTCCAGGAGTCTGCAAAGCAACTTGTCCTGGGCCTCCTGTACAGCAGGAGCCACGTCCTGTCAACCAAACAATCAAAACATAAATACTGTCAATCAAAACAAAGGCTGTCATGTTCATCTTTTACTTCTTTCTACAACAACATTATACAGCAATATCGCAAATTGGATATGTTTGGACAACACCTAAATTCCTGTTTGAAAAATGTTCTGATTGAAACAGTTTATGTCATAATATGTACGAAATATCAGATAAATCCACAAGTCAGAACAGAAACTTTCATCCGTATCCACAGTTAAAAACTTGAAGATGAGAGTCAACAGCCTCCACCAGAAGCATTTCCTACACAGACATGTCTCTGCTGCCATAACTTGTCAAGCAGCAGCCAGGAGCAGGTCCAGAAAGAAATTCACAAACCTAAGGATAAAATGTTCTTTACTGTATTGTGGATTCCAGGGCTAACAGGTTCAGAGACTATTCAAAGATGTTATAGCCTCCAGTAGCATTTCCTACACAGACATGTCTCTGCTGCCAAACCTTGTCAAGCAGCAGCCAGGAGCATGTCCAGAAAGAAATTCACAAACCTAAGGATAAAATGTTCTTTACTGTATTGTGGATTCCAGGGCTAACAGGTTCAGAGACTATTCAAAGATGTTATAGCCTCCAGTAGCATTTCCTACACAGACATGTCTCATCTGCCATACCTTGTCAAGCAGCAGCCAGGAGCATGTCCAGACGTCGGTGAGTCTGGGAGCCAGGACCTGGTGATTCATGTCCAGCAGCAGTCTCACACAGTCCAGTCTGGCTGCTGCAGCCTGCGTAGGGAACTTCAGCAAAGTCTGCAGTAACTGCCGCAGCCAAGACAGTTGATTCCCACCTGATGCTGCATCATCCAGTGCCTGACAAAACACACGATTGTTATGCCTAGCAGTGGTTTCTCTCCCCAAATCTAACAAAAACAAGTGGCTGCCTTTTTAAGCTGGCCACCTGGTCATAGCAACCACCTTTTCCTTTTCTATACGTACAGACATCAAGTGACCTGTCCAAAAAGGCCATCTGTTGAGAACACTACTTTCCCTGGGTCCCCTTAGCAAAGCAAGATAAAGTGAAATGACACCATTGATTCACATGTCTTAAGTACATATTCAACACACTTGACAGTCAACAGTGGCAGCCTTTCCTCATAGATCAGCGTTGACCCTAATCATGTGATAGACTTACCCTGTAGATATTCAGGTCCAGAGCTGTCTGAAGCAGGTCTCTGACAGCCACCAGCCTTCTCTCCTGTGTCTTTACTCCAATCTCTCCTCCCTCTGCATCTGCATCAACCTCCATCCCGCCCTCTTCCTGTCCGTTCTCTGTCTCCATGTTATTCCCAGCTGCTGACAGCGGCAGAGTAAAACCACACAGAAGACTTTCATTTACAGTTTTGATGTAGTTTGTATGATGTATGTCTGTTTACCTTGTCTGTTTTACATCGTCTACCAGATACCTTTACCCAGTGTTGACGTCACACTTCAAAGAAGCCACGTGACAAGCCTCACTGGGTCAGTCTACTGAGGAAGACCAGAGTGACTGGTCAAAAGATCTAGACGAGAGAACTTCTTTGTGTTGGATCTTAAGTTTTAACTCTAAACATGTAACTACCAACACAGATGAACTTTCATGATAGCTATATACTTGTTTGTTTGTACTTGTGTGTTTGCTAATGGAGAAATAAAGCATCCAAAGCACCTAAATAAGCAAATAAACAAACAAACCTAAACCAGACAGAGTCTTCAGCATAGCAAACCCAGTCCTGGAGACATCCGTGCAGGCAGGAGACTTTAGGAAGCTGCTGAAGGCTGCAGGTAAGTACAGCAGGACCGCAGCCTCCATATCTCCGGCTGGGAAGGCACAGGTCTGGGGAGAAAACACAGACATGTAATGGCATTGCTACATCAGTGATGGTTAGACATCCAGGTAATAAGATACGCCAAAAAGCAGTTACTCCAGCGACTGGATACAATTTTGGAAACGGTCAAACGTTTCAGGTAGCTTCCACTACCTTTTGTCAGTGACCTGAGTAACTGTTTTTTTGGCATTTTTGGCATTGGTGTAAAAATCTTGTCTGTGTTTCTGAAAATAATTTTCTCATGTTGGTTATTAGAACATAGATAGACCATAGAACTCCTGTCAGAAGCTCTGAGGAAGGTCTTGCCTTTACCAGACTACTGGTTGTGTAAAGGAAAACACCAATATCTTTTGACCTCAGAATGGTAATTTGGACATGATTATGGATCACGATTATGATTTTGACATTTTGGTTTGTATATTTCTGTTCAGCTGTTTATATATATTATGTTGTATCATTTGTTAACTTTTCAGTTATACTGATTTTGAGTTATACTGATTTCTGTTAACTTTTCACAGTTATGTTACTTGATTGTATAATTTACCTTTATACAAATTGATTTATGTTGTGTTTATGTTATGTTATATTGTTTATGTGTCCCTGGGCCCTTTTGGAAATCAACAATTTTACTGTTGAAGAGGCCACCCAGGTGTTTATAAGATGAAAAAAAAAATAAAATAAATATCCAACCGTGTTGCAAAGTTCTCTTGTCTAGCACCTATCTAGATCTGTGCAGATTATAGAACACTTCTTACAATATGATAGCATTAAACACATTTTCTTATCTTAATACTAAGTAATATCTTTGATACATTTTCTTTCAAGACAAACCTTGAACACAGATTGATCCGCCGTGTTCTTTAAAAGCTTGTCCAGCTGCTGGAAGTAAAGTTCCACTCCTCTGTTTCCTGCGGATGGGGAGTCTGTGATCTCACACGGGGGTTTGTCTGTGGTATCACACAGGTGTTTCTCAAAAGCTGCTGCATTTTCCCTACAGAAGGACCAGGCAACAGTGGATGTATCAAACAAAAACTACAATAATTACAAATTTATTAATAATTGCATATCAATCAAAAGTTCGTGCTTATAAACCTGCATTTCTCCTCTGGCCTCTCAGTCACTGACGAAAGATAGTGGACGCTACCTGAAACGTCTGACCGTTTCAAAAATCATATCCAGTTGCTTGAGTAACACAGTTAACACAGATAACACAGTTTTATCCAAATGAATGACTAGAAGAGTGTCACAAAGGCATAACCTGAACAGTCAATCTCTCTACGTCGATGAAGGTTACACATCCATATGATTTTGAAAACGTCAGACGTTTCAGCTAGTAGAAAGCTAGTGGATACTAGCTGAAACGTCTGACGTTTTCAAAATCATATCCAGTTGCTTGAGTAACTGCTTTTTGGCGTAGTCAATCTCTCTACCTGAGGAATAGGCCTTGGTGCAGGTGTTCTTGTATCTTGCTGATGACGTCGCTTGTTGTTGAGGACGGCAGTTTGGAACGGTTGTTTAGAACCCAACAACAACAGACGGCCGGGGACAACAGCTGATCACACATAGTCTGAAATACCTGCACACAGAGGAAAGGCAATATAAACTAACTCTTGTTGTTGTTGAAGTCTCCTGTTGATGTAACAGATGAGTAGGCATACAGGTCCCTTTTTTAAAAAAACTGAACTAAAAACCTAAAAACTAAATTAAAGTAAACTTAAAAAAAAAACTAAACTAACAAACTACTCATATAAGCTATCTGAAAACAAATATATAAACTTCAAGACAACTTTATTGAAAGCTAATCAAACATCATTTATTCCTTATGAATGTTACGAAACAAAAGCATGGGCATACAGGTAGCAGTAACTACCGTATAGTGATTAACTGGAAAGAAGACTTTGTATATTGTGTTTGGACCTTAGCATGTCTGTGTTGCTGACATCGCAGGGTTGTGCACCTGTCCAGGACTGTCACCAGTAAGGACAGCAGGCATGGCATGCTGTCATGGGCACCAGTAACACACAGTCTGACTGTCAGGAACAGCATGGACTTTAACAACTCAACCTGCAGCAGATAATAAAAGGCAAAAAAGCATAAATTAAGGCACAACAATATAGAGAAAAAAATCTGACTAAGACTAGTAAGTTTATACTACGGTTCAAACAATGTTTTAAATGTGACTAAATGTTTTTCTACAAGTTTATTCACTGAAAGGTGTACATGTTTCAGCTGCATGTAGTTAATATATAATACATGTGTAATGATTATTGTTTATTTTTCTTTAGTCGTCCAAAGAAGAAATGGTTTGACAACATAAGGGAGGACCTCCACCACTTGAACTTAGACAACATCAACCCACAGGACAGAGGCAAGTGGCAGGCTCCCATCAAGCCACAGATAATAAACCGGACAGTGAGTGTGTGAGTGTAATGGAGGGTCTTGAAACATTAAACATAGTACTTGATATCTTGTCAATCATTGGTAGAAGAAAGAAGTTGTTGTCAGAAGAACCCCAGGAAAGCATTATAACTCACACATGTATCATATCTGGACAGTAGGACAGCAGCCAGGGTAGACTGTGTAAGGATGGCCTCCATACAGCTTAGAACAGACGGAATGTTGCTCATGTTGGCAGCCTCTAGCTCTGCTTGGCAGGCGTTGGACAGGGTCGATATAATAACCTAGATAAAATGCAAGTCAAAAATCACAAGGTTGTTCAACAACATGTGGTAACCAGTGCTGGCCCAATAAAGAAACAGAAAAACAGAAAAGGACAACAATGCTCATAGAGGACCTGCAAGGGGGGGGGGGTCCCGACAATGCTCTACGCTGAATTCGGAAACCTCTTGATTACGCTTTACGATAAATTCCAAGTGGCTACAATGCATTACGTAGAATTAAAACGGCGAATACGCTCTACGCAAAATGCGAAGAGCGGTCCGTCTACGCTCTACATAGAATTACAATGGCCGATTACGCTCTATGGAAAAGGGCTTGCGGGCCCCCTCATATGGTGAAACAACATGTCATAACAAGATACACTTATAATGTACTGGTTATACTAACTTAATATACATCTACATATTGTGGTGTCAAAGAAGTACTAAGTGAAGACTAACTTCTTACTTATTATGCTTCTTGTCCTCTGATGCAATTTTATAGATTGTAACATTAGTGTTCTTACTACAATACTTAGCCTGAAGGTGATTGATGTGTTTATAACAGACACAAGTGTATGATTGGCAGAAAAACTGAACTAGTTGATTACTGTTAAAATCGCTGGCTATAATAACAGTTACTGCAAATGTACCTGGTTGAAAGATGAATTTAGGAAAATTGATCCACTTTGTGCTAAAGATTTCAGCCTTGCACTTTTCAGGATGTCTTCCAGAAAGAGCCACATGTCCTGCAGTACATGTTCTTCCAGCACAGATCTGCAATTCACATACAAAGTAAGTTGTAAGGAAAAGGTACCAACAGCACTTACAATGATGTACAACTTATTTAACTGCTCATTGTATATTACTCTTCATTTTGTTTGTTTGTTTGTTCGTTCATTCGTTTTCCTGCCCGCCCGCCCACTCACTCACTCACTCACTCACTCACTCACTCACTCACTCACTCATTCACAAACAGAACACAAAGGGTCCGAATAAGTTTTAGAGAATTCTCTGGCACTCTACATCATGCCTTTTTCTTTTCTTTTTCTGTGTTAACCAGGGTATCACTACTCAGTGGCTTAGCACTGCTTTACAGAGTGGCCCTGGGTACATAGATACAGGACAATACAGGGCTCAAAATACATTTTTGGGAATAGGTGCACTGGTGCACCCAACCTAGAAAATTAGGAGCACAAATTTTTTTTTTGTGTGCACCATATATGATAAAATAAGTAGAATGTCAGCAAAAACTAATCATGTTTCATCTAAAGAAAAGTACTATAACAATGCGATTTTTTCTCTGACACTTAGATGTTAAGAATATGCTGTATACTACTATACATTTAACATACATGTACGTAAACCTACGAAAATATTTGGGTGCGCCTACAGAAAAAAATTGGGTGCACAGCTCCAAATTTGGGTGCACTAAGATGCACATGCACCCAGTATTTCCAGCCCTGCAATATATACTTATAGTACAAAACGAGACATGCCTGACTGACATGTGTTAGCCTCAGGCAATATCAACACGGAGGTAAATTCTACCCTTCATGTCACGGGACGAACCTTGACCTGGTGAATACCTGATCTGCGGTGATACAGAACCAACCACAGGTGCAGCAGGAATGGCAACAAACTACTAACAAGATCTTATTATTATCTTATATAACTAATAACAAGATCTAACTATAGGTTATTTTAATGCATTATTTTAGTGTGTATTTTAAAGTGTATCTGTGTGAGTTGTAATTCTGAACGTCTACTACTTGTACATCGTTGTGATGTCCTTACATCAATTCAGCCACTCATGTGGCTACAATCTGTGGACAATTTCAGTCGACAAGTTGACAATAAACCACTTTATTATTATTATATAACTACAACACGTATGCTGTCACACTGTAACAAACTACGGAAAACATTCACAGCTACAAACTACGCAGAAACAGGAAACATTCTATCTGGTGCACTACAATGTGGTTTTTAACAGTCAACTTTGGTAAGATATATTCAAAATCACTCATCAAAAGCCCAACTGAGGTATCATCTGACAATTGTCATAAAGTTAAAATACAAAACATGGAGCCATTTGTTGGCTATTCATCTATTATTGACCAAATATCAGCTCATGCTGACTAAGGTTTGGGTCTGTTGATACCTGGCTGCAACCAAAGGATGTTGCACTGCTGCATGCCCGTAGCCAGGGGAGGTTTGGGGGGTTCGGAAGACACGTTGAAAGGTCCAAGATTTTTCTTTAAAAAGTGGAGTGATTTGTATCATCAGCGGGACTGGAATCACATTTTTCTCTGATTTTTCTCCTTTGAAGTCTTCTAAAAAATGCAGGAAATTTTGAAAAGGTTCAATTCAATTCAAAACCGGGCCTACCATCAGGATTTTAATAATCCCAGACCCAGAGGAAGACCCCCCAAAAGATGGCGGGACCAAATAGTGACTGACACTGGATGGCCCCTCAAGGTCGCAGAACAGAAGGCTAAGGAACGTGCTGCCTGGAGGGAGAAAGTGAAGAGGTGCAAGGGGCCAGTTCTGGCCTAGGCATTTAGGCAGGTAGGCAGGCAGGCAATTTTCAAAATTTTCCGGGGGAGTTAGGCACTTGCCTCACACCTACGGCGCTCACTGGTCCATTGGACAGTAGGAAGAAACAAACCAAAATCCTGGCTACAGGCATGTACTAACTGCATGATAAAAACAAGCCTACTTTTTTGCATAGTGCTGGATGAGTGTGCCGGTAGCCCAGTCTAACAGAACTTGCTCTCTTCTGGGAAGTACAACCCTTCTGGACTTCCAGGCCAGACGACCCAGCTTCAGCTTTTCCCGCCATGGAGTCTCCCAACTTTTCAGTCTCTTGTGCACCCCTAGACGCAGCAAACAGGACAAATAGCATTTGGTTACAAAGCAAATCTCAGAGTTTTTTTTTTTTAAACTCCAACATGTCATGACAAGACATGGTGATGGCACACTCAAGTTATATCAACTTATTTTATGCCACCACCAACAGAGAGGACGTATACAGGACAGCAGACTAAGTGAGGAAAGTCGTGTTAAGTGCCTTTCCCAAGGGGACAAGATCGGTGGCATGTCAGGACTCAAACCCAGGCTCTCTTGGTTATGCCACACGACCCCACAAATCATAAACTTTATGATAAAGTTTGATATTATATATTACATTATTATGTCTGCAAAAGGTACTAACAGTAACTACTAAATACTGTGAAAGATTGATAAGTTAAAAGGTAATTGATAAACACACTTGGCTCAATCAATCATTCTGATCTTTTATGACCCCAAGAGTCAGTGAAAGTGAAATATGTTTATGTTGGTTTAACCGAGTTCTTGAGATATTGTAGGTAACGACGTCCCTGGTTTTATAAGCACAGCTGCAGGAGTGAGGACCTAACAACACGACGTCCTGTCACGACAGGGCCGTTACAAATGGAACATTCCAGAAAAGATTACACAACAACTGGGCTCAAAATCAAAGGTGGTCCGATGGCCACCGACCACTAAAATTTAGGCTGGGAAAACTAAAAAGACACTTTGGGACATTTTGGGAACACTAATAAATAGTCAACATCAGAATGTCTGACTCAGCCCTTCTTTTGTTAATATTAGGCAAACATCCCGGCTTTTGGATCCGGAAAAGTCCCTCCGAATTTCCTGTCTACTCTTCAATTATAGTGCACCTGGGAGTCAGAACATAAGCAAAATAAGTTGAAGTCATACAATACTTGCAAGAAAACAAGTTGGGACAGTTCATCCTCACTTCCAAACATTTGAATTCTATGTTTGGGACAGTGCTGGAGTGGGACAACAGGAAGAAAAGTTCATTTCGAGGCCTGAACAGCATCGTAATCTGTCACGCCTATCTGTCCAAAATATGTAAAATTTATTGAACAGTTTATTTTGGGATATGAAAATTGTGCATACCACAACTACCACATCTGACACACAATTGACTTGGTTACCCCCCTGAGGTCACAGTTGTTGCATGTATATCAGAGGCGACCATGGATGTGTTTAGTAAGCAACAGCTGTCAAAGGGTACAGCACAGTTCAGAAGGTCTGTCTCTCAACTTGCAATAAACTAGTTCTCAGGTGTCAATTTATCCTGATACAAGTCTGCATTAGAGATCTAACAAGAAATCTTCGTAGCTATCTAAATAAGTAACACTACTAACAGCTTCATCGCACAGAGAGCCATGTGAGTTTCAAGGCTTCACACGGAGCGGTTCTGTTTATATAAACAAGAGGTAGATCCCAACTTTTCTGTTGGTGGGTAAACAGACTTTTGGGATGCTTGCTTTTGTGTGGCATTCACAGTGATTCACTCTTTGATCCGTTGCCTAAAACATCCACTTTGATGTACAAAATGACTAATAAACTGGTGGACGTACCAACCACTATCTAGTAAGTATCTGATACCAGCCCAGAAAAGAACAAGAAACAGTCATGGCTTCAAATATCAGAATTATCAACCAAGAATTGAGTTATTAAAAAACTCGTATTTCCCCAGAACTATCGTACACTGGAACTCGTTGCCACCAAGCACAGTTGGGGCATCATCACTAGAAAGCTTTAAACAACTCCTGCAATTAAATGTGCAAAGATTGAGTGTAACAAGTCATTCGGTGTGATATAGCTAGCTGCCGCCGCGCCGCGTGCCTGCAAAGCTAGTGTGTTACGCCGAAGGGCGGTTATACCGGCTATACCGATACAGATAGAGATGTAGAATGTGTAGAATCATTTGCTTTCAGCTCTGACAGTTGTACCATGGTACATGATATAAGATGCCAGAGATGACTCCAAGCAGAGGTTGTGGGGGAATGGCCCATTTTTGTTGTCATACCACATCTTTGGTCCCTCTCTGGCCAATTGGATACTGTCTGGCCAATTTGATACTCTATTTTTGAGACCCAAGGATCTGCTTGGAGATTAAGAGATGACTGCAACTAGTGGCGGCAATTGTTGGAGGGCTTCTTTTGCCTGCAGTCTTTTACATTAGCCCTATCAACATAGGGCTAATAGTTGATACGGCTAAATTATGTAAAATACTGCAAGCAAAACAGTTGCTGCCACTAAGCTGCAAATTATTATGAAAACATTAGCGTATATAGCAAGCTAAGAAAAATTCATTCAGCTTCCTTTTCCTCAATAACTTTCGCTTGGTCATCTTGAGAATGATATTTCTGACTGAGTTCCTCTACATAGCGCAGATAAACTCTGTTCATTCACCCCAGTGTCACAGAAAAACATGCAGTGTAGCAGACGACAAAACCCCCCTCCCCACCAAGAGCATGTGTGCGCACTCAACTTTAGTGAAAGCCAGACTACCCAGTCAGTTCTAAGCATCCATAAGCTGAGCAATCATTACAAATTGCACAGATCGCGAAGTATGGTGTGTTTCCTAATGATCCAAGATTTGCTAAACATGGTAGTTTTGCGTTAGAAAAATTCTCAGAAACACATTTTTTACCTGCAATGGGCGCCGCCATGTTGTTTTTTCCGCTGCATGACGGGAAGGAAAACGTGTTAGACATGACGTCATGGCGGAAGAACGTTTTTGCCGGGGTTTCCATATTTGGGCGTGCGGGGTGATTACGCATGCGCACGGCGAGCTGCAACTTTGCATGAATTTTGGTCAAATTCGGTCGAATTTGGCGGGGAGAAAGGCTTTGCGTGCACCTCCGCTGGGAAAGAAGTAGTCCTGATACCTGTAAGACCCACATTTCCCATTTTAACTTTTGCTACTCGCATAAAAATCCTGATCATAGGTAATATTGACTTTTGTAGACATTGAATGTGTCGGGTGTTGTTTAACTTGTGGTGAAAATATCGATTTTCTGCAGGTAGGCGGAGTAGTTTCCGAGGGTTGTTGGAGCCTGTTCTCGCCTTTTCGGTGCGAAGTGGTGGCCCAGTTTGCCGACCGACTCTGTGCCGTGGGAGGTGCAGTACCGTGCAGCCTTGGACTTGAGAGAAAAAGGAGAGAGAGAGAGAGCAGACAGGATGTTTCTGCGGTTGGGTTTTCTGCTGTGTGTTGCGGCGGCGCTCCTTGGATTAGCAGGTGAGAAACGAAAGAGCTTTTTCAAGAAGTGCCGCGGCTGCTGGCCACAGGCCATGCCCTACGGTTCAGTGGGAATATAACGGCGGCGAGCAGCACGCATGTTGTTAGCCTCCATAGCATGCCAAAAACTGGGGGGGTTTCATAGTCTTTGGGAGCTTTTATGTGCTATTTTCTGATTGCATATAGACAACATAGCCGGCCTGGTTGAATAGTTACCCCCGTTTAGAACTGGGGTAATCAGAAAACAGCCGAAGACCACCAAACCCACACTACCACAGTTCTCTAAGCCTGCTACGGAGGATACCCTACGGAGGCTAGCATGTTGTCATGCCGCCCGTGCACAGCTGAGACCTCGCACCAAGCATGTTCTCTGCTCTCCTGCCCCGTATTTCACCCACTACTGCTAAATTTTTAACTGCTGTAGGTCGGATAGATGGCGTAGATTCATTGAGTAGGCACTGAGAGCCTGGCACGGCTAAAATTCCGCCTCGTTCAGATCGATATTTTCTAGCTTGAAAAACGTCGCTGTTTTCTGACAAGCCCGTGTCTCAATCTCTCATAACGGTATGCGAGCAAGCGAAAGGGAAGAATTCTCCCCTTTGTATTATTCAGTAATTATTCATGTGAAAGGAAACCATAGCTCGCTTCGGGTACGGTGCAAGAAAAATGACTGAAATTATTCGTCAGCTGAGCGCTTGTGCTTGCCTAGCCTGCTATAGCTAACTGTTTGTTGCGAGCCTTGCGTCCATGTTTGCTCGAGTAAAGACGTCTTTACTATTAGTTCAGAGACGCACACATCTCTGTTTGGGGGTAATTAACAATTTACATAATTAGAAAGACATCGAGTCAGTCAAACATGGCACGATATGCCGTGATCTTTGCCAGGGCGCCTTTACGTGTAGGATGGGATTCAATTATGATAAATTTTAGCTGTATCTTTACGGGTCAAAATCCGTCCCCACTTCAAATTATTCTGGCTAACAAATTATAATGTCGTCCGTCCACGGTCACACCAGTAATGGTGCTCCCAAAGGGCCCCTGATTTGGTGATCTGAAACGCATTTTTTCTCTCTGGCCATCCACTCCAGTGTTGCTATTATGCAAAATATATTATGGCACCCAGGGAACATGTAGGATCAAGCAGGGAAGAGTGAGGTTCAGCTCACCAAAAATGGGTGATTATGGAAGTATTATTACGACTTAGCCAGGAAGCAGTAGAATTGATTAAATATGGTGTTTTTTTTTTAAATTTCATTCAAGCACCACCTTATCCAGGATGTGTCGTTATTTCCCAAGCAGCATTCAATTTGAAATAACAATGTTTGAGGAGATAATGCAATTTGGAATGCGATCGTGCGGAAAAGCCACCAGCCAAGCAGAATAACATGTATTGTTGAAAGAACTGTTGAGGGTAGTCCCCAGTAGAACTACAAGAAGTGTCTAATTCCCTCTCATCAAAAACATGTTACTTTGAAGAAAAAAAACACTGAAGGTCAAAAATTTAATACATGTTCAAGCTTCCCAAAGACAGAAGAAACATACGTAAAGATGCTAAATGTATAGTAGTATACAGCAAAGTCTTGACATCATCTAAGTATCAGAAAAGTAATGAAATCTTTGTTGGTTAAGATTGTTTTATAATGGTGCACCCAAAAGAATTTTGTGGTGCACCCAGTTCACCTATTCCCAAAAAATGAATTTCGAGCTTCTCAGTATAGAAGAAACCTCATATTTCTTTAATGGAATTATTTCAAGTTCAACTAGAATTACATTAGAGAAATTGTGTGTTCAAAGGAGTCATCGAACTAGAAATGCCTGTCCTGTTTACCAAACAGGTAAGGGTTTCGGGGATATTGTGTATCCAATTCTCCATTAACATGGGTACGAGATGTTCCACACAATATGGGTGGTGACATCTGTATCATGTTTCCCCTGTCTGCCTTTTGTCTGAGTGGGATTGGAGTGTTCTGTAACCAGCCATTACATTACATTAGTGCTGTTTGTACCCTAACCTAGAATATACTGTTCAGAGAAAAAGTCAGGGCTCGAAATTCGTGTTTTGGGAATAAGATCACTGGTGCACCCAAACTAAAAAATTGGGGTGCACAAAAAAATTGGGGTGCACCATATGAAATAGAGTAGAATGTCAGCAAAACCAAAAATTTTAAAATTCTGATGAACCCAAATTCTAACTTCAAAATGTACAAAAAAGATGTTGTTTTTCTGACACTTCAGATAAAAATACTAAAATATCTTTACGTAAATACAAAAATATTTGAGTGCACCCACAGAAGAAAATTGGGTGCACAGCTCCAAATTTAGGTGCACAAATGTGCACATGCACAGTGAAGGACTCGCATGCAGATTCAGCGCTTGCCAGCTTAGCTCCGGAGCTCCAGGTAACAAGATTCCACGCTCTTGGGCCGTAAACCTGATCTTTAATGTGCAACCTCCAAATAAAAGGTCAATTTTGTGGTTAGAGAAAGTCAATACTGTCTGGTGCCCAAGACTGTGCAGTTTGCAGCTAGATGGTCTAACAAAGTAACAGCCTCACATAACGATCTTCACTGATGCTCAGGAGAGCATAAAAACCTTTGATGCCTTGTGTGTGTGTGATGAGTAGTATGATGATTTGACTTTTACGCTGTATTAAACAATGTGTGGAATATGCCAATACAGTATGCTGTTAGAGTTTTTGTGTGATATGATGGTGGCCAGGTCAGAAAGTGTACATGTTCAGTCTTGCATACATGTACACTGCTCATGCACATGTACTGGTGAAATTGAGCCTGCTAGATATTTTAGCATTGCTAAAGTACAGTCTTGGATGGAAAGAAAAAGTCATAGCTTTATGTCTCACCAGGGATGAAGAAGAAAAGTTAGTACAGTACAATCTGTAGCCTCTACCAGGCTTCTGTAGGCGGCTGGAAAGAGTAGAAATCGGCCAAATAGAGAGATAACTTGCGAGGGGAGTTGGTTCGCTAGAGAGAAGTTCACTGTTTGCCGTACCCGGTTCTCTCTACTGGACCAACTCCCTCGGCATTCTATCTCTCTATTGGCCGATTTCTACTCTTTTCAGTCACCTCCCGAAGCCTGTTAGAGGCTATAATCTGTGTAGCGCAGTTAGACAGGGAATTTTTGCAATATTGTGGCTGCCAGCAGTGTTCTAGCCTAGGTCGTAAGTAAAATTTTTTTCAAGCTCCAAGCGCAGAAGCATGACAGACTTGAACTCTTCGATTATTCAAGAATTTCCGGGGTTGATGACACCCCACCACAAAGTGTGCACGGCTGAGCAGCTGTGATAAAAAGTTGTTTGCTTTTTGTGGTTTTCCGCAGAGGGGTGTGACAACCAATTGTTGGCCCAAGGAAAACTTTCAGTTTTCTGCTTTGCCCCTTTATAGTATAGCAGCCAACTGCCGTTGTTGGACGTGGTTTGGAGCAGCAGGAACTTCCATTTTAGGACACGGAACAGCCACTTAGCCTTATTTGACCAGCCAGCTGTTTCTTTAGTCTCCATTTGTGACTCTTACAAGCAGCAGGAGCTTCTCGGGCCTGCAGAGAGAACTGGGAATTACGGAAAGTCACAAATGTTTGATTCATTGTTTGCTGAATAGTTGTGGAATGCCCAGGTTTCTGTGTCTGTATCAGTATAGCCGGTATATCCCCCCTTTGGCGTAACACACCAGCTTCACAATCACAGGCATGCGGTGCGGCGGCAGCTAGCTATATCACACCGAACGACTTGTTACACTCAATCCTTGCACATTTGATTGCAGGAGTTGTTTAAAGCTTTCTAGTGATGATGCCCCAACTATGCTTGGTGGCAACGAGTTCCAGTCTACGATAGTTCTATCTTGGTGGTGTATTTGAATTGGAGTTGTTTAAGGAACTGTACAATCCTGTCTTGTGTAGTTAGTTGTAGTCTTTCGAGAGCGAGACCTTTGGTCCTGTGGTGACCCTCTTGGAAGGCTTTGTAATTTCACCGTTTGGAAGAGTGACTAACCTTTAAAGAATGATGCCAATGCTGTCTAAACTAATGATGATGTAAATCTGGAATTAAGAAATGATGAACTGGAGCAATTACTCGGAACTGTGGCCAAAATTTCTGGGAACAAGTGACAGAATCAGGTTGTGTGATACAAGACATTGGTGTTGTGTCTGAACATCTTAGAAAAAAGCTTGACCTGTTTTTGGTCCCCTCACATGACCGCCTCATGCAGGGCTGACATGCAAACTGTGCAGAGGAATGTCCAAATGTAGGAGGCTTCACAAATCCACAATGGAAGACAGGGCTCGCGGCTCGAAATTCATTTTTGGAAATAGGTGCACTGGTGCACCCAACCTAAAAATTTAGGTGCACAAATTTTTTTGGGTGGTGTACCATATAAAACAAAACCTAATTACAGATCTTACTGCTCCTCTTCTAAGGCTAAATCTGAAATGGGAGCTTACTTCAAAATCTTAAAGAAGCACTTCAAAAAAGATTTTATTATTTTTTTTGACACTTTGACAATATCCTGTATACTATTATATATTTAAAATGTAAAAAAATGCCTACAAAAATATTTGGGTGCACCAGTGCACCTACAGAAAATATTGGGTGCACAGCTCCAATTTTGGGTGCACTAAGGTGTACATGCACCCAGTATTTCCAGCCCTGGGAGAGGCACTGCGCACAGCACCTGTGTTGTATCCTGATGAGTGGGTGGAGTCTGGGATTTCTTAAATGTCATGTTTGATCTCAGGCCAGCACAAGGACCTGTAGTTTCAACATATATCAGCCTAATGTCTGACATTTCTTTATAAATCAGAGCTCGAAATACTGGGTGGCACCCAAATTTGGAGCTGTGCACCCAATTTTTTTTCTGTGGGTGAACCAGTGCACCCAAATTTTTTCATACTGGTTAGTCTATCGTAGACTGAACTGCCAAAGAAGAAGGTTAAGGTATGTAAAGATGTTAAATGTAGTGTACAGCATATTCTTAACATCTAATTGTTGT